TTCGCTAGACGGAATTTTTCCTATTTTATATAAGTGATATCTGCTAGGGCAGTGACCAGTTACTACCCGAAGATCTCCTTTACTAAGAATAAGCAAAATCCGGACTTTTGCTGCACTTGGTCTTATAAATCTTTTCGCCTGTCTGGATACATCTGTGGCGTTCCAGTTGGATTTTACTATGGACGTTTCCCAACTTTTTAGTTCCATCCTTATAGTACACCTCAGGGACTCCACAAAATGGTTCCGGACCGATGAAGTTCGATGCAGAAGCTCGTCTTGCTAGACTGTCGGGATTTTGATTTCCATCAATGCCCCAATGGCCGGGCACCCAGTATAATATGACTTCGTTTGTTTTACGCAAGGAATCAAAAATATCTCCAAATGACAAAATGACAAGCGATCAACGAACCGAATAATAACGCTATGTCAGAAGTTCATAGCAATAATGATATAATCTTCTTCGTTCTTTTTCATGACAAGCAGTCCGTGCGACACAACTCTCTTGGGGCGGTAGAAGGAAACGAGCAAATTGTTGGCAAACTGCTTCACGAAGTAGAGCCGAAGATGATACACGTGTGTTAATGGGAATTTTTTTGTTATGTCTTTTCTCGATTAATATCAAGCTATGTCCTCATCCGTGTATATTGCAACAAAGCAGACAAACAATATATCATTATCCTTTTACCACTCGGATCGAGCTATGTTATAGAGCGAGTTTGTCATGGTAGTCGTAGCAACCGTTTTGTCTGTATCGTTGGTTGCTTTATATGTTTGGACTCGCTGGTTTTACGGAAAGTATACATTCCCACACTAGCTTCGATCGACATGTGAACGCCTTAAGTGCATTAAGAGTAGCTTCTGTATTCGAGAATATACGGATCTTGGCAAACATGTATTTTCTTGTTAGACAGATGTTTGCACATTCTATGATAGCTTGAATTTCTGCTTTAAATACTGTGGAACTATGTCCCATTGCAATGGTATAATTTTACTGACTCCATGGCCAAAGATCCCTGCTCCAGTCTCCAGTAGTTTGTCTTTGTTACCATCCAATCTTTTATTGTTTTTACAGCTGAATATAACTTGAAATCCTTAAGGATCTTTAGATGTCCTACAAAGTCACCATCTAAAAGTTTATTTAGGCGGTTAAACTGTAAAGCACTTTTTGCTGTCTCTAGTTTAACAAATTGGTGTAAGGGCAAAATATTAGGAACGATGATTAGTATCCCAACAATTTGTGGTAGTAAAGAGTGAAAGGTAAAGGATACACACACACGGTGAAAACCAGCTATTGTCTGTGTACGATTTAAACCATTTTAAAAAATTCGATGATGGGTACTAGAGTTGCAATCTGAACAAAATATCCCAACGATGGTCAAGATACATCTCGGTTATTATTCTACAAATGAGATAGATTTGAGAAATATTATTGAAAAAAAAACATTTCTAGGTAAACATCCATAGTTTAAACTGAACAATTTTATGTAAATCATGAATGAATCTCTAACACTTCTTCTTCTTCTTCGCATTTCAAGCTTATTGCATATCGCATATTAGCTTATTGCGTGCTTTCAACTTAGTGTTCTAGATGCACTTCCACAGTTATTAATTGAGAGCTTTCGATGCCTGTACCATTTTTGCATTGGTATAATTGTGTGGCAAGTCCAATTATACTTCTATGCCCAGGGAAGTCGAGAAATTTTCCAACCCGAAAAATTCCTAGACCGGACCGGGAATCGAACCCAGCCACCTCCAGCATGGTCTTGCTTTGTAGCTGCGCCTTTACCGACTGAGCTAAGGGAGGCTTCGAAATCTCTAACACTGCTCACTGCATAACTGATGACTATTTTAGTACTTTTATGATTTAATTGAATGAATATGTTATATAATAGTTTTACCTGTATCGTCGGGAAGCTATTGAATGAATATAAAAATTTCTGGATGCCGAAATATTAAGTATAAATTAGCTCTTCATCCCAAGTAACATTGTAAGTTTTATCACGGTTTAAAGCATGCTACAAGTCTAATTCATAGTCTACAGAACCCCCATAAAACCCAAATTGTTACTTGGGATGGACCCTATACCTTCAGTGGACCACTTACGTACTAAAGTCATTTTACTTAAACATTGGAATGATTTATCGGTAACTCCCATCTGAAAACACCTTTTCCAACTCAACTGAATTGGACTTTACTACTACTAGCTTTCAAATTAAAATAGGATCAAAATTGCAATACGGAATTTCCATGTTTCTTAAGTAAACCATTTGTTCTAGATGAAATTTAACCAGGGTGCTTTCTATTCATTTTCGCTCAAAAATGTTTTATGAAATTATGGAACAATAAGGTATTATGATAACATTTGGTATGTGTAAGAACATGAAAAAATTGCAAAGCTTGTGTTTGACACATAAAGCCTGAAAATTTAGCTTTGACAGCGATTATCTTATCTCCTCTTCGCAAAGAGTTAAGAGTGAAGAGTGGGTGAGATAAATGAATTAGTTCCAATTTTTTTAAGTAATATTTTCGAAGCGATAATCAATATAAACAGCTATAACATTCTTACCACGATAAAAAAAATCAAAGAAGATTCTTAACCAAGTTCTAAAAAAAAACAAAAATATGTTTCTAATTTTTTTTTTTGAAAGTGTTGAGTTGCCATGTGCTTGAGGAGGTTTGGAAATATTGAAGTATTTTATCTGACCAACTGAACAACATTTAAAATGCAATAATGATCAACAAATTTCCTTGCTTGAACGCTGATTTCAAATTTGAAACTGGACAATTTTTATGTTTGAGAGCAGTCTGCTCACTCGAGTGTTACTCGGGATGGAAAATCATCTAGACCGTCATAAAAATTACAATTGTTCAACATACAAAGATGCAAAGAATACTGAACATTTCAAGTCAATTGCTAAAGTGGTTTAAAAGTTGCATTTGTTTATGTGTGTGTGCCATTAATTCCGTATTCACCTTTAAATTATACCTAAATTTATAGTCTAATTTATGTTTCAGCAATGTTTTGCAAATAATTTTCTAGCTTAAATAGCTATAAGGCTAAGAGGTCAATAATAAACCAATTTACCCTAAATACTGCTTTTGAAAAGATAAGTCTAAAAAAAGCCTTTCGGTATCTGATGAAAAAAAACGGCTCGAAATAAATGCTAAATATAAACAAGTATAATAAACAAATATTAATTATGAATTCAACCACATGCAAAAAAAATTCAAGAAAGTTCATGAAAATATGATCCTTTTATTTCAATAAAAAAACATTATTATTGCAGAATAACGAGTATATTTTTTTATAACTTATAATAACTACAATTATATGAATCAATTATTTTTAAAAACATTATCAATATTATGAAATTAACTTTTCCAAATTCTGACAAATTTGAAGAATCGATTGAAAAATTCAATGATCAGCAATGATAATTTTGAAACTGCCTCCCTGGTACAGTACTGAAGAGGTACATATAATTTCGTTTGTTGAGACCTTTTAACAATTGTCCAACAAAATAATTAATTATTTCAGACAAAAATCGCTGCGATCTGCAATTGGAACGATCAATTCAAGGATGATTTTCAAAGGACTTATCTGCTTTAGTAAACAAATATTCAAACGTCAATTTTTTGAAACTCTTAGCTCACCCACGCAAACTAGCACCTTCATCAGAAAGGATAAGGGTTTCCGCAACAAAATAGCGGTATTATCCCTTTTTTATGGCACAGACCTGTTGGTCCATATTTATATAGTGGTATTAGTTAGCTCTCCCAAGAGATTCGACCAATTGACGTTTGAATCTTTGTTTACAAAAGCAGCTATGTCTTTTTGAAATATCATCCATGAATTCCCTTTCTAACATATCAATCTTTCATCATAATAAATAAGGATGATTTTGCTATAGTAGCAGGAGCACCAAATAAGGAGATAAAACAAAAGAAAGAAAACAGCAAATGAAGAGAATAAAAAAGTATCACTCTTAAGTAAAAAGTACATCACAAGCAACGATGAAGAAATTTTAAAAAATAATTTCAAATTTAATAAAAATGTATATAAATAGTCAGAGCTATTGAACAATAAAATGTATGTAGACTAACTCCGACATCAATTTTCATACAAAACATTCAACCCTTCATTTACATTTGAGAATGCGCATTAAAAAATAATGACATCCATTTCCTCTAAAATCACCCTGTAATATTCAACCATTCCAGTCAAAGGCCACAGCAAATACATCTCAATATCAAATCACACTATTTTAATCATCTATTTAAAATCCAGCCATCCATACAAGACAGGCAAATCCTCCGAAGGCACACCATACCAAGCCAGCTCACAATACTGCTGGCAAGCAAGCAACGACACATCGTAGTCAATCGTATCATTCTGATAATTTATGCTAATTGAAACAAAAAGGCGAATAAAAACATAACCGTTGATATGATAAAAACCTATCCATATAATTCCACTATTTCGCCACAAGATGAAAAAAAAACAAAATTTACACAAACTTCAACCCATCAGCGAATATGAGACAAACAGAAAAGGCACACCACAAAAAAAAAACTAATAATGGGGACAGAGCACACGAGGGGGCGTTCATGTAACCAGTCATTTTTCGCTTTTTTGCTGCTCCCGAATGTCCAAAAATATTTGTTTTGTGAAATTCCGACTGCATCCAACTCACGACTTGCTGTTCGGTCCAAGTCAGCCGAATGTCCTTTGGCTGGATAGTATGCAACAACAACGACAACAACCAAATGTCCCAGCTCGGTCCGAATGGTAACCGGATCTTTCTATGTCGCACAAGTCACTATGTCGTATTCAAATCAGTTTTACTCTTTGTCACTGTGTTGTTTTTTTTTTTTGTTTTCAGATGTTTTCCAGTTGGTTTATGTAAGCACTAGAATTTCACGGAAATATTCGAAGCACTCAAGAATTTTTTGAATAACAGCAGCACCAGTTAACTCTGTGTAGAAACAAAATCACTTACTTTTCCAGAAATTGAAGCTCTTCTCAAAGTTTGCAGACAAATTTTCTTCTCCTTGTTCTGAGCCAGAACAAACAAAATAAGTCACTTCACCGGAAAAATTCTCCACCTAAATGGGAATGTCACTTGCACTTCCTATCTAGAAAAAAAAAAGCACTCGTCACCCGTAAGCGCGCGTTACGCAATTTACGCAAGGACACACTCTATACACTTTATCCGCGCGATCAAAGCGCTGCCCGGAGAGAACCGCAAACAGAACACGAAAAGGAAGCAAACAATTTCGGCGAACGATCACCTAACTATGAGTGCGGGTCGCCAAGATCAACACCTTTTATAGCCGATCACGTTTTTCTCCCTTCGACTACACGCAGACAACCCGCGCCGCGTAGCGAATATCTCATCAACTGGAGACCCGAGCAACGGCAGCAGCGGCTTTCTTCCTTCGGAGCTGTGCTCTCACCCGCGGGGCATAAGAAGGTTCATCGCTTGCTGCCTACCCGGCTCTAGAAGTCACCCCCGAAAATCGCGCACACGCAAATCGCTTTGGGGATGCTCCGAAGGGGGTTTCTCGTGCCACCGACGCCGCAGTCACTCACGCTCTCGTGGGATCCACAGTACGGTGCTGATTTCTCGCGGGCCGATTCAACCCCCTTTCGATCGGTGAGCAAATCGTGTGCCTTCTGAGAGAATGGCTCTCGCAGATCGGAAAACTATCTCGGAGAATCTGGCTAACTACCGACATAGGCGAGAGTGTGATGAGATTTTTGTTTTGATACCATCATCGCCCGTCTGGATCATCTGCATCTGCGATGACGGGCGGCATTTTCGCACAAATTGGTTGTCCGGTTTCAGTTTTCCAGTACCTACTTAGAAAGAAGATCTAATTACTGGTCGCAGTGTTTTGAGTCTCCTACAAAAGAAGAAAAAGAAAGAAGTAAAGTGAATGGGAAAATTGCAGATGTAAAAATCTAGCTCTTTGAAACAACTCAGAGTTGATGAACGGCATCGAAACAACTGTTGCAGTATGAGACATTTTTTGTCAACAGGTGTGTTGCGACTACCATCGGAAATATTTGGCGGTTAAAAACGTACATAATTTATTGGAAACATCCATCACGGCGAGATTAGACTGATGACATTCTTGGCTTATCGCTGCACTGCTGACTATATTCAAATCAACGCATCATTATTGCATGTATTATGCAGATCCGTTCCACACGAATCGATGATATTTAGTTAGTTGGAAAAATAAAAATCTTAAACAATTTTGAAACAAACGCTGATAGACAAACCATCAGAACCTTCAAGCACACATTGAAACCTTCGATTAATGGTTTGAATCAGCCCTGCCCAACCTTTCAATAACTTGGCTCTATATATGGTCGATGAACATGTTTCAGACTGCATTTTATTTGACTATGTCTTAATTTTGAGTTTGGAAAATTGAACTAGAATGGTCTCATTGTTGAGATTGACAATGTTGTTGGGCAGGTCTGGATTAAATTATTAGGATGAGGAATATCTTCAGCGTTAAGCAACGATGCTATTTATTATTAGAAGAAAGTTATGATAGTTAATATATTTGTTGTTGTGTTATGCGAGGTGATGAATTTGTTAAAGCTAGCTATATAGTTATTAACAAAAGAAATAAATAGTTAAGCAAAAAAACAAAGACATAATTGCAGAAGTGCTAAGAAGACATAGAGTTGACTACCACCTTGAACCCCTTTCTCATTGTTTGATAAATTTGACTGATCGATGTCTTTCTATACCACTTGAAATCACTGAAATGGGTTCGATTATTGATGATCGAGTTCTACATATGTTATGTGTATTTACCAAATCTGACAAAAGTGAAATCTAGCTGATCCAATGCTATCACTACCTCACTATCCCATTTGGTTTATAATTTCGCTAATTAGTCCACTCTGACTAAACTCAAAGGATAGAGAATAATTTTTGGGAAATTTTTCAAAAACAAAATGATGAAAGTTTAGAAATTTCGAAAAAACTTCAAGCGCAGTTGTCACGTGAATTTAAAGATAAGATTTCTATACATGTATTATATAAGGTAATACTAACGATTTTCCTTTTAACTTTATTTAATGGAGTGCGCGTTTGATTAGTATTGTTACATTAATGGCCCTTCGCTCAATTTCAACTTCTGTTCAATTTTTACGCTGCCGTACTCTAGCGGAACTATCAATCTATTCTTTTCAGAATTTTCTCTAGCTAATAAATTATCGCACTAAAGTTTCATATTGATATTTGTATAGCATTTTCTCCCAGCTCTTTATTTTAGTGATTTTGAGCTGTGGGCTGGTTCACCACCGTCATACTAAAGGGATGTCCAATGAAAATTTTATTGAGAATTCAAAATTTAGGAGGCAATTAAATATGCGACCAATAGCATATTATTTTTATCAAATCCTAAGCCATTGAATTCTAAAATCTGTTTTATTCTTGAAACTGATTTTCACTAACTTTTTGTAATTACTTCTCTCAAAGCCCAGGTTGTGTTTATTTGTTACAATGGATCTTAAAAAAAAGTCTTTTAATCTTATTAGGCTGCAATCCTGGAAGTTATTCGAAGCCTGTGATCTCAAAAAATTGGATCCCAATATATTGAAAATGGTTTTCGGTCCTAGATGCTGCAGCTATTTATAAGTTCAATATATAATTCTTTTGAAATCCAAGATAGTTAAATTCGGCTTTCCAATATATTAAACGTTCATGCTCTGAGATTTTGTTATTCAACTTTTCCTTATTTTAATCATACACACATAGAAAAATTAATTATAAATTTGCTGGTGCTCTGAGCCTGACATATACGAGTGTCAATTTCGACATAAAATAAGGTCATAAAAGATGCAAAATTCAGCTCAACCAAACGTACTTTCGAACTTTTCAGTCTCGGAGCACCGAATTGAGCGGTTCCACGAACAAGTGGGAAATTTTTCCAGTTTTATTTTTTTGTATTTTTTGATTTGCATGAAACCTTGCATACAAGTTTTTGGGGAAGAAAAACGCCGTTTTGCATACTTGGTTCGCCATTTTGAATCTAGCCTTACTTATGAGAAGGGCCTATGAAAAATGCACATGATATCTTCAAAAAATTGTATCTCGGAAACGGTTTGTCCGATTGGTTTGGTGTCTTGGGCGAAGTTTTAGACAATTGTTGGTGTTATATGGAGAAAATGTGCACGGTAAAAAAAAAAGTTTGGTATTTGTGTTTTGAACTAAAATATAAATTTTCTTTAAAGTGACATGTCAATAATTTTTTTTATTATCCTTATGTTATAGCTGACTAAAAATGCTATCTAGTGCACAGTAGGTTGTTCTGGAGAAAAATAGGTTACGATGAAAAAAATTGTTTTTTAAAAAAATACAATTTTCAAAAAAGCTATTAAGAACAGTCAAAAAAGTTTGTCACCCTAATTTTATGAAAGTACATCAAATTTGCAAACAAAAAGTACTTAGGTAACATTTTTCTAAGATGCACCGTTTAGAAGATATTACTGATTTAATATTGTTTTTTTCATAACTTAATAAGTTTTGGCCCTTTTCGGATGTACTCCGTGTTTTTCCAGTTTCAAAAGTATTTTTTTCGGAAAGATTGGAAAATTTTGAGTTAAAATGACACTGACAGCTTAAAGATTCGAGTGAAATTCTCTGCCTTAAAAGTATTTTGAAAAACAAGTTACAAAATCCCACTATCAGGAACAATGATTTCTTCAAATGATTTTTGGTGCGTTGTGCTGAAAACGTGCTAACAAGTATTAGATACAGGTAATCAGATACCAGTTAGCTGTACTACGTACAGTTGGTGATTGTAAACATGGTCTTTGTTGGAACTAGTCCACCATGGCCACGCTGGCCATAACGAGGCTAGCTCCGTCGTTGACCGTTCCTTAATAATAAATAAAAAGAACGCAGTAGTCACCTTCCATCAAACTAGAGGGCTGCCGACTGATACCTCAATCAACAACCGCCGCACTCTTTATTCATTCCAGGTATATACAATTTACAATCTTCTTCAATAACAATATACCTACGCCAGCAAATCTACCTCGCTCCAACTCTCCAAACTCGTACCTGAAGGTTCGACGATACCTGAGCGTTCAACTCTACCTATCTTCCAACAGTCTTTACCCAGCATTCTATGATTTCTACCCGTGAGCTGTATAATAATGTCTGACTCGGTTCTGAATTCATCCAGTATCTACTAGGGAAAACCAAACAGTAAATGCAGAAAGGTTGCTAGTAGCGTAGTGATTATAGTAATTTCAGCTCATAATCCTGTGTTTTTGAACGAGATCCAGTGTTGTTTGATAACATAATAATTGTAAAGGAAAGTGTAACACGTTTTGGTGCAAAGGTAAGTTTTAAATACACATTTTAATTATATGTTTTGTGATATTTTCGTACAAAACTAACAATTGGAAAATATTTTCTATGTTACAGATTACAAAATGAGTAAAATAAGATGTATTCGCCCATTCAAAGACATTCAGTGTTCGAAAGAGCTGCTATATCTCACGGATGGTATCATCCAAAAACTAAAATCAATTGGATTTTCCAAGGTATCCACACTGAACACCAAGGATTTTCGTGTTTGTTCGTCTTGCCGTCTACATATTGATTCAAGAGCTCACCTCACCCAAAACGAGGAACAAAGCTTAGCCGGCGGCTCAAGGATGCCAACTGTTCAGACCATACCTGATGTAAATGACATGTTTGTTTACGTCTCATCCTTTATGTCAAAGATGAATCCATCTTGTCGCCACTTGTCAGATTAGGTATTCTAAGTGTATAATTTAGAGTTTCTATAAGTATCTTACTTCTCAAATATATAAAAGTTTCACAATTATATAAATTAGGTTGAGGGGCAGGAGGGGCATAGTGAACAGGTGGGGCATAGTGAGCATCCCGCAGTTTGGCTTTGGATCTCCAGCTGCATGAAACAAATCAGCTGGTAATAGGTTCAATATCATTATGATATTGATCCTACCACAAACCAATTTGTTCCGAACGGCCGGAAGTCCAAGCTGGTGCACGGGATGCTCATTATGCCCCTCTTACCCCTACCTTTTTTTAATTTCCAGAAACTGTAATTCCTCACTCATGATACCCGATGAATTATGCAATCTTGATATTGTTGTTGCAATAATAAAGATTTCGTGGAATCATCAATAAGAAAACAAATGTTTCTAGTCCGAAATTCAAACCCTTTCAAAAAACCATTGTTAAAAACAGTGATGCAAAATATCATGACACTCACGTGACACTCGTCTTCGCATC